GTCTGAACAGGCCTACACGTCAAGTATTTCTGAGCCACGCTGTGTAACCGTCTGGATGGGGCACCCGGCCCTCTACCGGATCGCGTACATTTTCCAGCGATGCCTTTTCTTGTCCCATTGGCTGTCCTCTGAACCAGTCCGCATCAAATCTCTCCTCGAGTCGTACAAGCCATGGACCAGCCCCATCCTCCAGGCACATCTCGTGCACGAAACCTTGGCCCTTGCCAAGATCGGCGCCAACGAGTTCGATGCGTTTCTCGCCGCGCGCCCACCACAATTGAACCCAGTGGTCAACTTTTTCCAAACCCTAAAGGATCCTTTCGAGATACTGAGAACGTTGTCGACCAGTCCGGTGGTCCTTGGGGAGGACACGTTCTTCGGCGCAGCGTGAGTTAAATTTTACCTTCGCTTAGCGCGGCTAGTATTTCCTCAACATTAACAGGAAATTCTCCTCGGAGCACTTGGCTTTGACCTTCCCTTCAACCATAAAGCCGCGCCGTGTCTGGGCAAACTCGAAAATGGTCGCCAAGGTAGTCGGCGCCGAAGAGCTCGAAACGTGGGGCTACATAGCTGGTTTGAATCTCCTGAGTGTACCGAGCTTCAAGGGCACAGTAACCCTGTCATCGAGACCCAACACCGGCAGAATTCTTATCCTCTTGACACACTGCGGGGAACCCGTTACCGACGTTGGGTTGGACTCGGAGGAGGTGTCAAGTACGATGATCAGGTTTACGACTCAGGATGCGTGCCGACAAATATTAACATTTACATTTCTCAGGGCAAACGTCTCGAGCATTTTACACGCCCTCCGCATGCACGGCATCCACCACCACGACATCCACGGCGGAAACGTTGTCAGGCACGGCGACCGCGTCTTCATCACGGACTTTGGCAGTGCCGTGAGGGCACAGGACTGTACGATGGGGTCGGAATGCCCTGATCTTGTTTTTTTGCTGGAGCCCGAAGTGCCGGAGCTCGTCTAATCTGGCTCCTAGTCTCCTGAATCTCAAGACTTGTCACTTTCACCCACCTCTCCGCAGCTGCCCCCTCCGCCACCCCATTGGCTTCCCAAATCTACTTACGTTTGATAATAATTCCGTTCTATATTACTTGTACACGAATCGTACATTACGAGCATCCATACAGAGACATTCCGAGCTTGTACCATCGATAAAGACTCTGTACGAAGGACTTGGATAAACACAATAGTATTACAACTGCACTAAGAGCAATAGTTCAATGATGCCTTCGTATTTCATACCATTCTGACTCCGAGCGAACTTTTCAAATTGCTCCTTGGAATGGAATCTGATTCGTGACAGAATTGTAATTGCGACGCGAGTGCCTAAAGCTACATATCAAGATTGTTTGTGGAACATACAGTGTCTATAGAAAGGAAATAAAGATATAATGAATGTTGCGAAGATACAGATGTATGTATAGTCCATGTGTCCAGGTAAAAGTACAGATAAAGAAAGATCGTGACGGGGTCATCTCCAAAACGGATTCTTGGATCCAGTCCGCGAATTCGAGGTGGACGGCAGCGGCGGCGCCTGCGTCGGCGTCAAATAATACGCGTCGATCGTGCTCGCCGAAAAGCGCGACGCCGCGGCGTCCCTAACAGGCTCCCGCGGCTCGGGGACGCGGTGCGGCATGCCCGTCACCTGCGAGTAGAGCGACGGCGCCGAGAGGCTGCTCGCGACCGACTCGTGGCGGGCGTGCCCGTGCTGCAAGACGTGGTGGTGATGGTGATGCTGCACCTCCGCGCGCGGGTATTCGTACGACGCAAGCAGCTTGTCCATGTCCCGCGCGTCCCTTGCCTCCTCTGCCGCGCGCATCTTCGCCATCTTCACCGCCTCCGGTTCGCCCACGTTCGCCTTGTTGACCTTCGGCTTGCTGGCGCGGTGCCCGAAGAGCCGCTCGCCGAAGCGTAGGAGCCGCCAGCGCCACCCGACGGGGTCGAGCTGCCGGCGCGCGGCGAATTGCGCGGTGCGCTGCGCGCGTTGCTTCCGCGCGCGGCGGCGCCACAGCCAGACGATCGCGAGGAAGATGAACGCGCAGCCGAGCGCCATGAGCAGGATCTCCCACCACGCGAGCGCGCGCTTGGTCGGGGCCGCGATTGCGGTGGGCGCGTCGAGGCCAGTGACGGTGGGCAGTGGCGCGGCACCGGGCGTCGTCTCGGACGGGACGTTGACGAATTCGGCGAGACAAGCGCCGAGGCCGGGGACGACGCTGGAGGACTGCTGGCACGCGGCGGCGACGCATGTACCCACGCGGAGGACTTGGTCCGCGCTGGCGCAGGCGAGGCATTGGCTGGGCCCAGAGCCGGAACAGCTCGAGCAGCTTGCGTCGCAGGTGATGCACGTCGAGGATGTGGGGTCGAAGAACTGCGTCTTGCTGCACGTCGGAAGACAGCGGCCGTTTGTCAGGACGGGCCGGGAGGGCGGGCAGGAGGAGCACTGGTTGAAGGAGGCACCCGAGCAGGAGGCGCAGTCGGGGTGGCAGGTAAGGCAAGACCCGCTGGCCGAGAAGGTGTTTGCGGGACAGGTCGCGACACATTTGCCCGAGGCCGCGAGTTGGTTGGAGGCGCACGACAAGCAGAACGTCGCGGAACCTGTGCATGTCGTACACGAAGAGTCGCATGCTGTAAAATCAAGTTAGTAACGGACATGGGAATGCGGTAGAATAACGCACCTGTGCAGGTGAGGTTATCCTGCGACGAAACGAACGTGCCGGAAGGGCAGCTCTCGACGCAATTGCCGTTCGAGAGGAAGAAGCCCGGGACGCAGCCCGTACACTGCAGCTGATTGACCGTGGAGACGGCGCTGAAATTCGGGATCTTGCACGCTGTGCATTTAGAGCCGCAGCCTAGGAACTTATAAGCAATATTATCAGGCGATAGAAGGAGAAACGCACTATCACACTCGAGCTTGTTGTTGTCCGCGATGAGCGACGACCCTGCGCACACGCCGTTGGCGTCGGCAGAAACGCATGCGCCATTGAACAAATATGTGCCAGCGGCGCACTCGATACAGTCGTTGGACGTCCCAGCCGTGCATGTCTGGCACGATCCCGAGCACGGCGTACAGTTCGTCCCATCGGAGAAGGCGCCGGGTGGACAAAGCGTCCCCGACGACGTGATGCTCGGCGGAGCATTGCACTTGGTGCGGTCGTTCGCGTCGAGCGTAAAGCCCGTCTTGCACGCGGTACACACGCCCGTCCCGTCCGAGCACGAAGTACAGCCTATCTCGCAGACTATAGTCGCAATCAGCATACAAACGTTAGAAGAAGAAAAGTAAAACGCACTAGAGCAGTCCCCTGTCGACGTCAAGAAAAATCCCGGCGCGCACTGGCTGCATGCCGTACCGTTTGCAGCGGTGGTAAAGCCCGTCGTGCAAGTGCAGCTGCCGTTCGCGCCACAGACGCCGTTCACGCAGTTACATGAGGCTGGTGCGCCGACCGGCGTCGAGACGAGACAGCGCCCGCTCCCGGTGAGCCCGTCGTCGCATTTTGCGCAGCCGGCGGGGCAGGCGGCGCACCCAGGGCCGAAGAACCCCGCAGCGCAGGTCTCGCACGACGCGCCCGTAAAGCCTGCCGCGCAGGTGCAAGTCCCGGCGGCGGTGCAGATGCCCGAGGACGCGCAAGGCGGGGAGCACGCGGCCGACTCGATGTCGAAGAGGGTGAGGGTGCTCGGCGCGCTGGTGGGGAGTTGGGCGGTGTCGGGGATCGAGTCCCAGACAATGACTCGCGCGCTGCCTGGGGCGGGAGAGTTGACGGCGATCCAGACGCTTGAGGAGAGCGCAAGGGAGCGGAGGGTCAACGGCGTGGAGGAGTTGGCGCCGATGGGGGTGGAGGGAATGGACGTGAACGCGGGCTGCCCAGCGTACAGAGGTTCGGAGTAGATGGAGAGCCCGGGCTCCTGGGCGACGTTGAGCGGCAGTGCGAGAGAACTGGCCGAGGTTTTGAACCCGGGGGAGGGTGAGAGGGTTCCGGAGGTGGAGGTAAGGAGGTTATGAAGGAGCTGTGGATTGGTTGTAGAGGTGTATTGCCCGGGGAGTAGAAGGGCCGGCGGTGACCCAGGGGTCGATATTGTGACGCCGACTAGAGGTCAAGAGTCAATGAGGTGCATGCACACGAGAGAAAGTCGACGCACTGGATGTGTTTGAATATCCCTGCAGACATTGGCCTGCATCGCAGACGATAGTAGAAGTGTTTAATGACGCCACTGAAACAGTATTAGTACACGGTTGATAGTAGAGAGTGGTTAAGACTCACGATTACTGACGGAAAAGAGAACGGGGAGGACGAACATGGCTTGCTTGTCGTGAAATTACGGGGGTGATGGTGGTACGAGGAAGAGAGAGGGAGAGGCGCCGGCAGCGCAGCTATGAGAAAGGTGGGCTCGGGCATTGTGGCACGCATCGCCAAACGCTTTTGTTCCACTCTTGGCCGCAAATAGTCGGTCCGAATGGCCCATGTTGCCTATTGTGTGAGGACAATGGGATTTTAATCTCCGCCATTGTGCGTCTTGCACCGCCGCAGAGTCCTGCATTCTGCGCACAATGGCAGTGGGAGAGACCTTCGCTATGTAAACGAATCCCCAAACCCAGATCTAGACAGAGTGGGAGCTGGCAAGCAAGATGATTGGGCACCATCGGGGTTATGGTCAGGTCTTTCCAAGAGATGAGGGCGCCACTTCAACCAGGCTGGAGATGTGGCCGAACGCATGATACGAGGCAGGAGAATCCGCAATTATTGGCATTGGAAGGACGGAGAGGCACAAGTCGGATCCGGTTTGGTGCAACGGTCGAACGGTGATCTGTGATCGGCGATGCGTGACATTGATGTCACACGTTCGTGACCATTCAAGTTGAACAATGGGACTCGAGTTATGCGGCCGCTACGGATGCAAGAATTGGTGGAGAGATGGGCGAGCTGGCCACAGAAAAGATAAGAAAAAGACGTGAGGAAAAGAATAAGATGACGAGGCGCAAAAACTATTCCGGTACGGGGAATCGAACCCCGAGCTACCGCGCTTTAAACTAGCTCCTTACGTAACTGCTTAGGTAAGAAAGCGGTGAAAAGCGGTAATGTTGACCGTTACACCATACCGGACATGAGAGAGACTCCAGAGAAGTGTCTATTATGACCAGGAGGGTGCAGGCTCGATAGGCATCCAATTTCCATATTTTTTGAATAACAGGTTCGAAAGTTGTCGATTCGCCGTTGCACCAAACCGGGAGTGGTGAAAATGCACCAAGTCGAAAGGGGCTCAGGTATACAGGGGTTGGTTTTTTTTAACGAGGATGGTAGCCGGACTATACAGGTTGAACTTAGACGTGGTGATCAATCATGTTGATTCGGTTTCAAGACTGCTGTGTATTCTTCCGTCATTAAAAATTCAGCCAGTTGAAGAGTTGACAACCATTGCAGCTGTAGGGATTCGGAGATTTTCTTTGGAGAGGATAGTAAGTAGCCGAGTTCAACTTCAACATCAGACTGATGGTCGATCACTGGAAACTCAAAGTATTTACCGTCTCAGTCCTATGTATAGATAGGGTCCTCCGGGCAGCCCTGGTTCCTTCTCTGGCTGAGATACCATATTAATGTCGTGCCGCCCTTAGCCGCTCGTCGCTGACCTCCGGTCGCTCCTCGCAGCACACGCGGCATGGCTTGTATGGGAGTCGAACAAGCGACCAACGAGCGACTGCTTCACATGGCTTACATCACCTACAGACGGACATTCACAAACGGACATAAGACATGAAAAGGACAGAGAGAAGCTCATTACTGATCTGAACCGAAACCAGGACGTAGCTTAGTTACCGTTGCTGATTTGGCATGCTTACAAACCACAGACAGACACCCACAGACGGACAAAAGTCGTAAAAAGGACAGACGGATAAGCTCTTTACTGATCTGAGACCTAGAACCGGTAAACCGGAACCAGGAATATGTAGTAACTTTGCTGGGGTACAGTTTTAGTATCAGGCTCCTAAGTCCCATGGGATAAGTCTAAGAGCCAAGGCAGTTATGTTTTCCAGCTCATTTCAATGTCCCTACAGGCCTGTGATCGTGAAGACAAAAGATCCGAACTACCCTTCTTTCTGGTTCAAGGTAAACATCAAGGTATAAGCTGCCAATTTCAAAGTAAACATAACTTGTGATCCACTCACTCGGAGACTGGTGAATATAATGACGGGAGGCCCGAGCTGGACCGGTATTCTGCCCAGAGAAAATCAAGGCAATACCCCATTGAAGAGTAACCGGCCATCGCAGCTGTAATATTCGGGTTTTACTTGAACATATTAAGACTTGAAAATTTCCCAGTTTTTCTTGTCCGGATTCACCCACATTGATTTATTCCGGTTAGAACTTACATGAACCTGTGTGTAAACCCCGTGACCATAGATGTAACATATTTCGGAGGCTTTTTCAGAATAAGGCATGAGAGAGGAGATATAGCGGTCACCTTGCACATTTAATAAATGTGTATAAAAAGACCTGTTTTTGGTTGAATTTAGCCAGTTTCGGGGATAAAGAAACATCCTAAAACCTTCACTCAAACCTTCCAGCTCCTTACTAAGTAAAATCAAGACTGGACAGTTTATAAACCTTTTATATGAGGTGTAAAAAAAACTTACAAAGTTTCTGAATGTCAGACACTTTTCTTTCTACATTCCTTCCGAAAATAATTATGTGAGAGGTCAAACTTTTCTGGAGGTTTTGCGAGAAAACACTCGGGGATTGAACATCATTTTCTTCCCCGAATGTGGTTGTGCACCAACCATAATGATCTGATCTGATGGCACATGCTCAGTTCAAATGTGTACTTCCGTGATTTTCTGGTAGAATCACCCATAATTATAAATGGGACCATATTGGTGAGGTCCCTGTCCCTATTCAGACATCAAGGGAAATGGTGTTGGGAGTCATGGTAGAACTGATTTGAAGGCACATGTCAGATCGGATCATTAAGGCTAGTGCACAGCCACATTCGGGGAAGAAAATGATGTTGAGTCCAAGTGTTTTCTCACAACTCCTCCAGAAAAGTTTGACTTCTCATGTAATTATTTCCAGGATGTCACTGGTTGAACATTTCAAGTTTTTCAGTGAGAAAATTGGTGAAAAATTTTCATAATATATACAGAACTTTTCGACTCACAATCACTTTTTTCACCGAGAACAGAAAAAGTTCAGAAAAAGTTTCGAGTTTTTCACCTACTTTTTCAATGAAAAATTACTGTAATATCAGTAAAGTTTTTCACCAATTTCCTCACAGAAAGAAAAGTTTCCGACATTCAGAAACTTTGTAAGTTTTTTTTGAAACCTCATAGAAAAAATTCAGAAACTGTTGAGTCTTGATTTTATTTAGTGAGGAGCTGGAAGGTTTCAATGAAGGTTTGAGATTCTTGAGAATGTTTAGTTCCCACTGAAACTGACTGAAGTGATTTATTAAATGTGCAAGGTGACCACCATAGGAGAGAGATTAGGAGAGTGTGATGGATATAGTTAGTATTTAAAAAGTTTCACTGGGTGACTTTCCATAAGCATAGAAAATGATTCTAGAATATTTCTGCTCTTGCCGTCACCGCTGCCGAGGCAGCTGTCAGGACCCCATCAACGGGCAACCCAAAAGCGTAAAAGAAATATTCCAGATCTACGAAAATCTGTAGAGGGGTACCCCCCCCCCCCCTCTACAGATTATTATTATTGGAATAAACTGTTTTGAGTGGCCAACGGCTACTCCTTGCCCACTTGTGAAATTATCGAGTCTCTGATTCAAAAAATTCCACAACCTTCTGTTACCCACTGGACTTCATTCCGGCCCTTGCTCAAGCATGAAGACCAATTCATGCTTCTTATGGGAACACAAGCCGTTATCACACGATCCGAATTTCCTCTACCTTGATACCATCACTGGTACTCTCAACTAAGTTCAAATACCTCGGGATTAGTTTATGGTTATGGAAAGTCAAGCACTTCTTCAAGACTACTTAGTCTATTTATTGTGAGCCTCAATGTATTTATCTATGCGGCCAGTTCCCATCAAACAATCTGCCTTGTTTACCTATGTTTCTTGATCATTCCCACGGTTCAAATCAGCTCCGAGAGTCATGCCTCGCATCTGTTAAGCTATGCAAGGCTATGCCTCTCTGAGCTGAGGAGTCATATGAATATGACTCAGTTGAACTACGACTCACTAAAGTAGTATATAAGGGTAGCCTTCTTTCTTGTGAAGGCATCTTACATCTTTGCCAATACACTTACCATGAACCTCACACATATGTGTGATCTTTAGTGACTCCTAAGAGCTCACTATCATTACTTCTACCTTTCTCATCTAAGACCATTGCAACACAGCACACTTGCGATATTATTAGATTAGCGGTCCTAAGGACTAAGTTCAGACAAATTTCGATACAAGTGTATCTCATTTGTTGGCCTCTTTCAGTGAAAGTCCCTCTGTGTTGACTGATTATATAAGGTTTGCTGATCCTATAATCTCGCTCATAGTTATTTGTGTTGCATTCGTGTAACACCAACACTGCTCTCAACTCTAATGTGTGCTACTATAATTACTGTGCGTGCTCACTTATCCGTATCCCGCGTGATATCGGTTTCTCTTACAGAAAGAGATTATGGATGCCTTTGGAGTCTGCAGATCGCTTGAATTCAACTTTGTTCCAATTCAATATTCCGGTATGAACAAACCATCAGCAAAACCTGGGTCCGCTATGTACCACTACATAGGGACCTCTAGTAGTCTATAGTGCCCATAGTGCCCATAGCACCTCTAGTGAAGGTCTTTATCTACATAGCACTACAGTTCAACTATGGAGCGCTATGTCCAACTATGCAGTACTACAGCCGACTATGCCAGACTATGCCACTATGGCGCTAGAGTCAAAATCAGGGTTTGCTGATGACCTTCAACTACAGTGAGCACGGCCGGATAGTGCCTCTGTAGAATATATGTCCTACCTACGGCATCGTACGGGTCCCGTACTGGCGCCAGACCATGGAGGCGGTTCTCCGCAGCGCCAGGCTTCCGGTGTATGACGCATCTGCTCTGGATTAATGCGGATGGAATCCGAACCAAACTCGCGTGATTGGTTGGACAAGGGTAATGTATGATATGACCTGTCCAGAGCAGATATTTCTAGTCCCGCAGAAAGTGCTGACCGTTCCGACAGTTCTTGGAAGTTTAGTATTTACGGCCTAAGATCAAACTAGAGATGGGAAGACGGAGGTACATGAGTGAGATGAGAGCCGCCAGTTGAGAGCCTCAGAATATAAGTAGCCAGTTCCAGCTCGGAGGAGATTCAAGACATGGCGCAGTTCAACTCCGCCCGGAGATTGCCTCACCTGAAATCAACCATTGATCGCCACCAAATTGTTGGTCTTTTTCACCTCCACCGACTAGGAGGCTTCACCAGCATATCATGTGGCGGTATCATTAGAGAATGAACTTGTGAAATCTGTGCCGTAGTTATACTTACAATTATCTCACACTCGGATTCGGAAGTGAACCTGAGGGATGCCGGAAGAAGATCCCAACTCGTCATCGGACTGGAAACAAGTATGTCCACTGATACAACGTTCACAGCAGAGTGAAGCTGGAAGGAAGATTCATACGGATAGAGAAGAGCATTATATAAGGTTTTTTTCTCGTCGTCCGCCTCCGCCCAGTGTCCTTGTCCGGCTCTAGAACGAGAGGTTTCCTCTTCTTTCGAGGAGCACTGCTACTAGATCAGCAAACCCGGATGTTGCCTCATTTGGCTGGCAGTAGTGGCGTAGCGATCAGTAGCAACCCGTAGCAACTCGGTAGCAGACTGGCATTTTGCTAGCACCTGGTAGCAGATTGACATTTCTGTAGCAGGGCCTAGCAGGGCGCATCCTGCGATAGCTAAGTCCATCTCCTGGATATTGCGGTGCCTATGGAAATTTATGGGATTTCTGAGCGTCTGTAACGATTTATTTGGTCGCCGCAGAAAAGAAATGCGAGGCCAAAATCGATAGTGACGGTGGGAGCAGTCAGGACAATTCAAAACTCCGCCATTCTATTGATCTCCCTCCACCTACGTACGTGCGTGTATGTGCGGTCAGGCCCG